TGATGGGTACTTCACTTGACACTTCTCACAAACAGATTTCAGAGCTACAGAGTTTCAGAGTTCCAGAGCTCCAAAATTCAAACCAAAGTTCTTAATACGAAAAGGGAATTCTTTCGAAAAGAGGAGCTACTCTAAACAGGCGACAAAATTGGATAAATGTTTTAAAATAATTAATAAGAGGAATATATCATTTTAGAATTTATTGAAGAATTTTAAATATCAAGGCCTAAACTTAAACAAATAATTAAAACAAGAAGTTTAAAAAATATATCCTTCCTCCTTCCTAATAGAACCTTGATTAATTTAATCCTGAAAAGGCTTAAGAAACTTCCAGTTCTCCATTTTTCATTTAAAACCCCTAAAAAAATTACCCTCTTTAATACAATTTAACAAAAATAAACAATAATAACTAAAATAAAAACTAAATCCTAGTATTTAAAGAATAAAATAAAAACTAAAATCCATTCCAAACCCAAACCCCCCAAAGAACCCCCAACCTAAAACCTAGAATTTTTGTCGCCTGTCAAGGATACCGACTGTCGATTACTGCCAGTGACAGAACCAAGTGTTTCTCCACATATCGATGGCCCTTCAAGGCTGTCCTGCCTGGATGTCCTGCTTGTGTCCTTGTGTTGATGCCCCCCCAGCTCCCCGCTTTGGGGAAATCGCATTCGATGGGCGTGCAGTTGAGTTTGATTAGTATTTATGGCAGTTTAAGGACCTTCAAGTGAAGGAGGATTTTCTGTATCGCAATTACATGAAATGGGAATTTAATTGTTCGTTGTTGTTTTTGTTGTTGTTGCTGGCTGTAGCTTTTAGGACCAAAAGGACCCTAGCAAGAACTTTTCAAACAACAAAAAAAAAAACTGAAATAAACACGAACAAAAACAATATATATAACTGGCATGAAACATGTCGCAACCGTTTCACAACTTTTTTCTTTATTTTTTTTTCTATTTTTTTTTTTGTAAGCCAGAACCACCCACTATTATTCACCTGGTTCGTGCTAGCTTCTATGGTACCCCCCAAAAGAACCTCCCCCCTACTTCTCAGAGAAACTCAAACCTCCCACTCCTTGGAATTGTTCTTCGTTTGCATTTTTATGGCATAAAAATTAAAAATGAATTTTGATTGTTTTCTTCTTCTTGTTGTTTTTTTTTTCTCTTCTATTTTATTTTAATTTTCTCTCTTGTTATTTATACTTTTCTTGTTGTTTTTTCCATTATTTTATTATGGTTGTAAGCCTCCTTTGTTTTTAGTTTTCATGTCGCGTACTTGACGTTTTTCATTTATTTTTTCTATTTTTCTTTCAGTTTCTGTAGTATTTTGTTGGTTTTTTTTTTTGGGGGGGGTGGGATGGATGGTATGGGAAGCCTTGCATGGCCAAAGGACATTCCAGGACATTGCCTTGCCAATGAAGTCACGTGTATGTGAAAGTCTCTTGTTTTTTCAAGCTAAAGTTTTCTTTAAGAAATGAGATTTTTTTATTATTTTTTAATTAAAAAATATTTAATAAACCAACTATTAAAATTAATCCCTTTATCTATTTACATATTTATTTTATCAATTTTCATATTTTCACAATTTAAAACAATTATTGGCCTTTTTTGGAAATATTTTTTGCTCCTACTTATGTCATTTTAATTTTTGCATAATTTCATTATAAATATTTTTCCTGACATTTTCCCACCTTCCCACGCACCGCACACACCGAATTAAATTTCCATTTATTTTTCGTGACTCCCGAATGCAACATTTACGCACTGCGGACCGATAGGACGACAGGTGGTCGAGGTGAAGGAGGGGAGGTGGTGGTGGTGTCTGACTGATGTCCTGACTGGTGAAGGGGGCGTGGCCAGTGCACGCTCAGCACGTTTATTCGCACTTAATTCGCACTTTTTGACACCTTTCGCCATCCAGAGGCCCAAAAAAAATAACGAGGCCCTACTGCAACGAGGGGGCAGTCTCCCCACACACCCCCCAAAAATATGGGCGAAAAATTATGCAAAATAAATTAATTACCAATTAGGGGGGTATGTATGGACAGGATGCAGGGACGCGTCAGCAGGACGCAGTGATTTAACCCCCAAAAGGCTAGAAAGGGTTGAAACTGCGTTTGTCACATGAGCCCCGTCACTAATTAGCGTCATTAAAATCGCCACACACACACACTGAAATAAATATTTGAAAAGTCTGGTAGGAAGGGTTGCACCTACTAGAACCTGACACAAAATTGCAGCAAATAAATAAATAAACCATAAACATAACCGACCACAGAAATCAACTTAATTTCCAAGACAAAGGTGGTTTCAGTGGGTGGGTGGGTGGTGCTATGTATGGTTCTGTGTTCAATGGTCAAGCAAGTAACTTCCGTTAACTTGCGTGCAAACCTGTAATTTCCAACAAACCCCCCCCTCCTGACTTGGGAGAGAATTGGGGTTAAAAAGGGTTTAAGTTGCGACAAAACCCGAAGGGGTCACATGCATATGCATAATTATAGGCCACTCCGTCCGGAACGGAATGGAAGGCAAACGGATCGAGTTCCTCCGTTTTGGCAGCCGCCTCTCGGTTAGCAAACTAAACTGTGAAAATGCCCCAAAGGGCTAACTCTACCTATATGCATATAAGGGTATTATGACCTGCCTACCTACCTGGCACGTGAAATTTGAATATTGATTGGCTTTAATGAGTGTCGTTTGGTCGCGCAATTAGTTTGAAGAAGGGTTTGGGGTTGTACGGAAATCCTTTCAGTTCTTAGACTAAAGAACATAAAACTATAACTATAACTAAAACTAATTACAGTCAAGTCCTTAGTCGATCAATCAATCATTTATGAAACCAAACAAAAACGATCATTTTTCCATACTCTATCTTTGTATCGGAAACCCAAAATTGGATGCAAATTGAAAAGCATTTTGTGGGAAATGTAATGCATAAATTAATTGTACACTGAACAAAAAACAAAAAGACTGCATTTTGTTTCAAAAACTATGAATCTGCAATGAGGATTGGGGGGCTGATACAAAAAATTCAATGCAATTGCAAATGAAAATCTACACCGTTTAGCATTCCATTTCATTTGTCTAAACTAAATAACAATACAGTCTGGACTCCCACCATTTGCCAGGACGTGGGAGCATATCCCCATGGAGGTGGGGAGGATGCCTTCATGTTGCAGCTGCCAAAAATTGAGTTTTGATGCGCTTGCCGCCCGCCTTCCCCCTCCGCCGTGTTGTTTGAAAGCGTCGCGTTAAATTTACATAAATTGATTTGATTGAATTTTTATGAGTCGACGGCAGTGCAGTTGCAACCAAAACCATCCACCACTCCCCCCAAACCCAAACCCAAACCCAAACCCAAACCCAACCCATCCAATCCGTACACCCCGAAGGGCATCAACTGCTGATGACTTTTCTGGCGAAAATCTGGGAGAGTGTGGAGTATGTGGAGGCTTTCCAGAGGCGACCCTCTAATTAAAGTCATTTCCAGCAGCTGCCCCTACCCATCAACCATCCCCTAGTCGGTGGTCAGGTCGAGGTCACAGTTGGCGCTACATGGTGCAGGGCTTAATGCGAGCCATTTGGCCACGGCGGACAGGCGGACAGTGGACAGTGGACATCGCGGACATGGACACGGACGAGGGCAATCAACGAAAAGCGTAGAGAGGCCCAGACACAGCACACATTGTGTTACCCACCCAAAGAGTGGTTCAAATGTTGCACTTGAAAAAATATATAAATATTTTAAAGATTTAAATTTTATTAAAAATTTAACCTATGACTTAAATTAAAGACAACCTTGGCTCTTCCTCATTTATACAGTTCAACTTAAAATTATTTCCAGTGTATAATGGTTGCAAGACGGCAGCTCTGGCGCTGCATATTTTTAGGGTTTCCCCCAATGCATTCGCCGGCTGGAAAATTCGCACATTGCAACAAACTATTTAGCGTAGGGCCAAGGCTTTTTATGGGTTTGGAGGCTTATAGTGGGGGTCTAAGAGGGGGGTTCAAGGGTCATTTGCAATGGCAACAAGCAACGGGCAGCGGGCATCGGGCATTGGGCAGCGGCGCCAATTTGTCATAAATCTCGTTATTTTAAATCGTCGCCTGGTTTTGGGCCTTCCATTGTTTGTACTGATTTGTTGCCGGTCGTTTGTTTTTGTTGTTTTTGTTGTTTTTAAACGGATTTTCCAGCCGTTAACGTTATCGAGCCAAAGCAGTTACAATTTGTTTTTCCTTTCAAATGAGCCTATATTTAAAATTTAAAAATCTTAAGTTAAGAAATACTAGTAACTATACCAGTGACCTTGTGTTTGGTAATATGGCTGGGCATTTTCAGATCGGCTCGTTGGTCTAGGGGTATGATTCTCGCTTCGGGTGCGAGAGGTCCCGGGTTCAACTCCCGGACGAGCCCAATGATCATATTTTGTTTGTATTTTATATATTTTATTTTAATTCTATTTTTTTATTATTATTTTTATAAAATTTTTTACTACTTAGTATTATTTTTAAATTTATATTTTATAGTTAATAACAACCCTTTCTTTATATAAACATTAGCAGCCCAAAAGTATGCTTTGAAAGGCAAAAACCTTCTCTTTACCAACACTGTTGTTTCAATGTGTGCTAGCATCTGTGTAGCACCGTTACTCGTTTTAAACTTTAACCAACACTTTCAATAACAAAAAGCCCGGCGTGTGTGCAGCGTGATTTTTTCTTAATTTTATCTTAATTTAATATTCAAGAATGGAGTGTTTAATGGCGGAGGACGACGAACGCGTCAATTTCCATAATTATGACAAGTTTTTTGTGCCGCACTTTGTTGGCATTGACCAATTAATGAGGACAACGGAATACGCCTCGACTTGGATGACGCCAATGACTCCATTTGGTTCATTGCCGACTTTTTATGTGGATTTTAATGTATATTTCTGAATAATAACATAATATTATAGTAAAAATTACTTAATAATCTTATTTTTTTCTTGTCTCTTTTTCCAGATGATGACTATGGACATTACCAAAACCGAACCCGGTCTAGTCGGGCTTAACTCCAACCAACAGCAGCAGCAGCAGCAGCAGCAGCAACAGAACGCCGGCATGAATCCTGGTGGCCAGAACAATGGTCCCAATCCCAACAATAGTAATGGGAACAACAACAACAACAATGGCCATGGCGGTGTGGTCAACGTGGTGAATTCCGGCGGTGGCGGCGTTGGCGTTGGTAGCGCTGGCGGTGGTGGCGGCGGCGGTGGAGGTGGCGGTGCCAATATTCAAAGTATTGCCGCTGCTGCCAACAACAACAATAATAACAACAACAATGGCAGCCAACTATGCGCCGGTTGTGGCAAGCACATCCAAGATCGCTACCTGCTGCGTGCCCTCGATATGCTGTGGCACGAGGACTGCCTCAAGTGTGGCTGCTGTGACTGCCGGTTGGGCGAGGTGGGCTCCACCCTCTACACCAAAGGCAACCTGATGCTCTGCAAGCGTGACTATTTGAGGTAAGTGGGGTTAGAGGTCTCTAGACCCCTTAGAAACTCCAACTAATTATACATATTTCTATTTGCCACAGATTATTTGGCAATACTGGCTATTGTGCCGCCTGCAGCAAGGTGATTCCGGCCTTTGAGATGGTGATGCGGGCCCGGACAAATGTCTATCATCTGGAATGTTTCGCCTGCCAGCAATGCAATCATAGGTAAGAAGACCTTGTAGTAAAATCCTAAAAAAAAACATTAAAAGGGAAAATATGGAGTAGTTGGGTGTCATAGATCCTAGGTTCTATAAATGCTTTAAATCTTACTAAAAGAAACTATATAGAATGGTTAGGTTTTCTTGGAAATATGGTTGGCTTAAGAAGTAATCCGTATTCTTAGCCATTTAACTACGAAAAAGGGTGTTTATGGAACTATGTTTATGAATAGTAATGATATTACTTGAAAGATCTATAAGAAATATGTTTTAATAATAATATTAAAGATAGAAACGTTTACAAAACTAAACTAACTTAGAGAGTATAGCCCTGGCAGCGAGGACTTTGGCTATTAAATCGAATAGTGTTGGAGTTTGGTAACATGATTTCTATCTTATATATTCTTAATAATATAATACAATATATTTCCAAAGAAAATATATTTTAATATTAATATTAATGATAGAAAAGTGTTCTTAACCAAACTAAACTAACTCACTAAACTATAGAACTGGTAGCGAGGTCTTTGGCTTATAGTTTTGGAGTTTAATTACTTGATTTGTATCTTAAATGCTATATAAAACATAATATAATATATTTCCTTAGAAAGTATATATTTTATCAAACAATACCCTTAGTTACCCATATTTAACCCTAAAATTAAATTAAATCCAAAGCTTACCTTTTCAAAAAATTCAATTTCAAAGACACTTCTTCCCCAATAGACTTCTTCTTCAAGATGTACCCCTTATGTGCATTTATCCCCACTATAAATCCCTGGAATTATCATCTAAACAAGAGATAAAAATCAAAGAAATGGCCAATTTGTAAGGCCCCCCTCTTAATTGTGCGAGGTGGTCCTCCCAGGCCATTGAAAAAAAAGGCACAAAGTGGCACTTGAAGTTTTATTAGCATCGTTTACACATCGTTGTGTTGGCAGGTTTGGGGCTGGCAGGGCTAGTATAGTATGGTGGTGGGAAAACCCCTTTAGTGTCATACATTTTCTATGTAAACCGCATAAATTTCGCATTGAAACCCCCGTTCCCAGAGTCTTCGAAATTCGAATATTTTATGGGACCTGGCCAATTGCTGAAATGTCACTCTGGAGAGCTTTAAACTTTGCATTTATTTTTTTGTATTTTTTTTCATACAAACATATATTGTTTTCGGAAGGAGATGGTGGGGAAGTAGACTTCTTGGTCTTTTTTGGTCAGCTTCAGGTTCAGGTTTTGGTTTCGTTTTCGTTTCGGGTTTCTGAATTAATAATGAGGGCGGCACATATGCCTCTGCCTCCTGCCTCTGCCTCTACCTCAGAATGCCACGGCATCACCCCTTTTTTTGTTGTGCAACAACAAGGGAGCCAAACATTAAATATTAAAAATGCCGCCACACGGCATCGTTGTCGACAAAAAATATTGAAATAAATGTTAAAACATATTGGCATATTGTGAGAGTATCGGAACCAGGAGAGGGGACTGGCCTTTGTTTTCGAAAAAGTCGAAAATTGTCTTTAAATATGAATCAACTTTCTTTCTTTTTTTTTTTTTTTGGAGGAAAAGTGCAATGAACTGTTGGTTGTTGCAGGTGGTGCACTAAGAACTTTTCTTTATAAATATTTTCCCCTTGCAAACCTCCCCCCCTACAATGGCTAATCAATTTTTTACGTAAATTAATTCCATTTGCCGAAAAAATCCATTGAGGCGTGGATTCATTTTGGCCAGCGGGTTTTCCCCCATTTTTTTTATATATTTTTTTTAATGCTTTTGGCCACATTTAAAATGCGGGCTTTCATTTTGAACAAACAGCAAAGGTACAAAAAACAAAAAAAAACGAGAGAGAGTTTTCCTTTCCAGTTGATTCCTCCTGTTGCTGGGAAAAAATGTTGCAAAATGCATTGCAGTTGTTGGTTCCGTCTGGTGAGGTTTGCATAATTTCCTGTCGTCAACATTCAGCGACGACGACGACGACAACCTCACCCCCTCAACTGGAGTTTCCCTTCGAATCCTATAGCCTGGAATCCTGAAGTCAAATCATTCGTCCAGGCTCCCAATTTTTTAAAATTTTTTTTATTTTTTTTGGCCGTTTGGTTACTTCCTGTTGACAATTTGCTGTTGGTTTCTTCTCTTGCCCGGATGTGCGAATCGTGAAAAACACAAACACACAGCCAGACCAGACCATCCCACCCACATCCAGACAAGGACTCACTTATCAACATGTCCGTGTCCGCCGTGTCCATGTCACAGGTGCGCTCTCAATGCAAAAGTAGAAAAGAAAAACTTTGTTGACTCTTTTTTTGTTTTTTTTTTATGCGGATGATGGCATTTCGCTGGATTTTTGCTGCTCGATTTTTGGTAGATAAACAAAGCGATATATGTTGTTGTTGTTGTTCCTTATGGTCGGATGCCACGCCCACAGCGTCCGTCAATCGATTTTGGGGGCAAACGCAACTGAAACCAGCAGTCAGGCCAAAAAAAAAAAAAATGTTGACGTAAATCAAAAGCCAAATTTCATATCCGTTGTAAGTCTGCTGTAAGCTGATTTACCCATTCCCTCCCACTGCCTCCCTATATGGTGGAGAATCTATGGAAATGCCACATGTACTTGTCAAACTTTTAAACGTTTCTCTTGTATTTTTTTTTTTGAGGAGCGGCTTTATTTCCCAGAAGATTGATGTCGATCGAAGGATATATGTTAAGCGATTGAGCTTAAGATGGAGGTTTAACTAAAGGCTATTAAATTTAAATCCTCAAACTAATTGCTAGGCAATGGATGATCATTAAACCGTTCAAAGTGTCCGTGTGTCCGCCAAAGTGTCCGCTTGTTTAAAGCTTGTTTTAGTCTCTTAGTTTTAAAGCTAGAGGTTGGAACTTTTGAGGAACGTTTCTCTGAGGTCTTAGCCAGAACTTGCCCAACAACCATCTTTCTATTTGATTAAAAAACTTCGATTTTATCTTCGAAAGTGCCTACCCAAGTCGACTATAACCCAAGTTAGTACCCAGTTTATTCCTATTTTTTTTATTATTTTTTTGGATTTCGACTTTCTGTTTACTGTTTCCCAGCGTGGGCGTGGCTGCCTCCAGTACCCGGCTCGCACACAGGTGCTAACATAAATATTTTCACAAAAGAGAGGAGACACGCTGGCCAGGAGGATTGGCTCTGTTGGCTCTTTGGAAGCAACTTTATTTGCAGTTGGCTGAATACTGCACTCTACAAACTTTTCTTATTTTTTTTTCATATTTTTTTATTTGGATATGACAGCGAAGAGCGACATTTACCGGCTCTTATCTGACTTCCTTGTCGTTGTCCTGGCCGGTCGTGTCTCCTGTTCGTGTGTCTAGCCCGGCGGCTCCTTGGGGGGGTCCTTTTGTTTTTTGTTCCCATTGACATCCATCTCACCGGATCCGGGGAGTAACTGTTGCCAGCAAAATGACTGTTCCTAACCGCTGTCAATTGTCATCTTTGTCTTTGTGCATCTCTCCGACTCCTTTCTAGGAGGATTCGCAGGATGCTTGGCTTCTACTTGCTTAAATGTGTGGAAAAATCGTTTCCACTTCCTATGAGGGTTTGTTTTTTGTAAACCTGAGGAGGGGTATCCTTCAATAAAGTAACTAGTATTTTTTTTTAGGGATTTTTAAAATATTTTTTTTTTAAGAATTAGCCTAGAAAAGCGTATAGTTTAGTACCTGGTATCTTATATCTAATTTTTTTCTTCATTTCCTTCCAGATTCTGTGTCGGCGACCGGTTCTATCTGTGCGAGAACAAGATCCTGTGCGAGTACGACTACGAGGAGCGTCTGGTCTTCGCCTCCATGGCCAATCATCCGATGCTGAAGCGTCACGTATCCTCCCTGGGCCAGGGCTCGCCCACTGGAGCTGCTGGCGGCCAGAATGCGCCGGGTGGTCTGCTGGGCGGTGGACCCGGTTCCAATGTCAATGGCGTGGGTGTGGGCGTGGGCGGTATGGTGAATGGACCGCGTACGCCTGGCGATCACAATAACAACAATAATGGACCCCAGACACCAACTGGAGGTGGATCACCGTTCGCCGCTGCCGCAGCAGCTGCCGCCGCCGCCGCTCACATGAAGAATCAGCTGGGAGCGTCCAGCTAAAATAAAGCCCTGGGCATGGGCGCTGCCGGAGCTGGACAGGGTTCGGTGATGGGCGTTGGACAGCAGCCGTTCTACGGAGCCGGTGGCTTCGGATTGCAACAGCAGCAGCAACAACAACATCACCAGCAACAACAACATCACCAACAACAGCAGCAGCTCATGGGCTTGGGTTTGGGCGGTGTAGGTGGAGGTGGAGCCGTTGGAGGACTAGGTGTTGGTGGTGGACATGTCATTGGGGGAGGATCTGCTGGTGGATCCGGTGGAGGAGCAGCAGCAGGTGGTGGTGGAGGAGGCGTTGGCAGCATTAGCAGTGGCTGCAAGCGCTACCAAAGAAAGTTCTACAACCGCAATTGAAAATTTAAGAAAAGATCGAAAAGAAATCGATAGAAATCGATAAAAACGCGATAAACGGAAAGGAAAGAATCCGAGCGATAAATGCGAAATCGAAATTCAATTTTCGTTTGCTTTGACTGAGTTCAAGTTTTATAGTTTTTTAGTTTCATAGTTTATAGTTTAAAAGGAGAAGAGTAAAGATCTAGTTTTTAGTTATTAGAAGTACACGAACTGCTTGCTGAAGTTGAAGAAGGATACTGTTCTGTCTAGATCGATATAACATTTAAGCGACAATATTTTTTTTTTTTTACTTAGTTGTATATTTAAATCATTAATTTCTTTTTCATCCTGCCCCTTCCCCTCCCCCTGATACATATATGCTTTATAAGATTCTATGATTTTTGTATTCTTCCCAGGACCTGTAAATATTTTTCCCTTTAAGCTGTTGACTTTTTTAGAGCAAAATCAAGAATATTTTTTTTTTCTCGTCATACTCCCATATAGATATATTTATATATATTATTTATGATATATATTTATATGCATAAATAATTTTATTTTCACGCTCGAAGCGTGCGGTGCCAAAACAAATTCAAAGCAGTGCCAAAAAGTTAAAAGAAAAGAAAAAAAAATAATACAAAAAAAAAAGCAAGAGATAGAGAAGAAAAAAGAGCTATGTCTATCGGTTATCGAGATCCCACCGATCATCAGTTTTTCGATTACAAGGCCAGGATCTATGATGGCCAGAGCAAGCGAGCGATTGGCAAAGTGAACTTTGATATGTAAATATTGAATAACATTCTGCACACGACTTAAGCGCATCTAATTTTTGTTCTGATTCCATTTTAAGTCTGTTGGAGCAACCGTTGTTGATTATTATTTAAGGTTTAGTTTAGTGCGAGGCTAACCGGCGGATAGCGAATACATAATTCTTTCCACGGCAGACGTTGTATAGAAAAAAAAAAGAGAAAAAGCTGAAACTATAAGTCTAGAGATCGAACTTGTAGATCGAACCCCCGATTCCCAACAAGATACAAAAATTTCGAAATGGAGAGAACTATTATTATATGTAAAGAGGATGTAAAGATAAGGATATTAAAGTAAAAGTAAAACAAAATGTATAACCAAGAAAACTAGTTACAATATGTGTATACGTGGTCGTACGTTCAACACTATTTTTTTTTTGTCTGCAATCTAAAATATAAAAAAGTAACAAATGTAATCAATATGCGTAATTAGCATTCGATCGGGGCTAGTGGCCCGGGAGAAACCAAAGTGTGTGTATAAGCATCAGTCTCTAATCTATACGATAAACGATAATTGATAATCGATAAATGATAAATGATACATGATAATTAATAAACAGTACTACCTATCTATGGATTACCGAATTATGTTAAATATCGTAATAATATATATATATACATATATGATAATCTCAGATCTAAGTAAGACGATTATCCATTCGTTTTTTTTTTTTTTTGTATCGTATTGTTATATGGATAAAGTTAAATCAAAAACTATCTTAAATTGTAAGATAAATCCGCTTAGACTTATACATTATACATGGATCTAAACACACACACACACACAAACTAGCAACACAACCACACTCACACACACACACAACCACTCATTCTTATATATGGATAAATGTATGTATTGAATCTGTGTGTGTGTTTCAACAAAAAAAAACAAAAACAATAATAACACGATGAAGAGCAATGCAAATGAAAGAAATCAAAACTAAAGAAAAAAATTACAAAAAAAAAAAATATAAAGAAAAAAATGAAACAATAAATGTAATTAACAAAAATTTCAAAAAATTAAATTCAAAAGAGTAGTATTATTTTCCAAAAAGGGAGGAAGGCCTGTTTAAGAAGTTATTGGTTATTTCTTTCAGTGCATAAATGTGGCAGCTTGCTGGCTGACATTTGTTGACTCTTTCGCTTTTGACGGCCATTAATCACGGCATTGTTGTTGCCAATTTCAAATCCACAGCCCAGACAGCCGTAATGGTAGGCTGATAAATGATGCTTCATATTTTTGAGTCTATCCCATGCAATTGAAATAATAAAACGCCAGGAGCCGCAGCCGCAGCCGCAGATTGGAAAGGGGACCCATTGATTAATGAAACTTTAAAAGGAAACACGCGTTCGTCTTTTGTCTGCAAAACGACCGCAAAACTTTCGCCATGGAGATACGGATCTTTTCAATATACGGTTTATGCCGGGAAACTTTTGCGCCTCCTTGTCTTTATATTGTCGTACATATTGGATGCGGATCCTTGGTATCCGGATCCGGCCAAGGATAAGACGCTGGTGGTGCTGTCGCCACAGGCCATAACAATAAAAGTCATTTATAGATTTCGATTTTGTGCACATGTGAGACTAGGAAGGAGGAGGACCTCCCATACCCCAGACCCCATACCCCAGACCCTTAGGGTATATAGTAGTTTTATCAAAGACGAAGGTTTTATCAGCACTTTTGGTTTCCACACAGGACCTGCCGTCCGCCCTTTGGGAGGGGGTTGGTCCTTTTGTCTTTGCTCATGTCGTCCTCCCACCGCACTGGTGTCATAATCAGAGTATCAGTGCTTATGAAAATGTCCTTTTGTCCCAGAGACCATGCTTATCGCCAGCCCATGTCCCATGGTCATAAAAATCTATATAAAAATAATGTTTCAATTCGGCTCGCAGGAGGATACTTACTTCTGCTTGTCAATCATTATATCTATTTTGGAAGGAGATGAAAAATGTGGCCAAGAATCTCTCTCGAAATATAACGATAAGCCTTGAAGAAATAGCTGACATATCAGCAAAAAAAAAAAGGACTCTTCGCAGGAGGCTTAATTAAACGAGTTTGCGCCACAGAACTCTTTTCATGTTTTAATTACACAAATACTCGGCATAATTTAACCAGATGCTATGACAACACAAAACAAAAAAAAATTATGCATAAGAAACAATTTGTCTAAGCTGCGGTCCCCGAGTCCGAGGCCAACCCCTTTTCTAGTCCTTGGCATTGTAATGCGACTGGAGAGGTCCCCTCACTTCGTCCAGCTCCTCTGACAACTCCTGATGTGTTTGTGTCAACTTCAAAGTGAAAATTCCAGAATGCGCCTTGTTTGTTTGAATATCCTGTTCCAGTTTCCAGTTCACCCATCGCTCTACCTCTACCATAAGGTCCTGGCATAACTCTAGCTCGGATTGCGCTTTGAGCAAATTAGTCCAGAGGTTTCAAATTAAATTAGTTGCTTAGACAAGGATATGGCTCTGTCATGCCAATAATAATAATGACTAATTACGTTTAAAAGCTAATGAGATACACTAAATATTGTGGTTAGTTTCAAAGGATAATTGAACTTCAATCTAGTTCTAGTCTCTTTAAAATTATGGACTATTTCAGAGACTAGTTTAAAAATCCTTCAAAGAAATATGTAGCTTTAGTTTATGGGGGTAGTTGATGGTGTCCTTTTGGAATGAGAGTGGTATGGGCTAGTTGCCGCATTTGTCTCCATAGTTCTCTCAATGCACTTTGGGGCATGTCGTAAATATGCTTTGTCCTGCCACTACGTCCCACACCGTATTATCCTGCCCGGGGCCAATCAAGGGACGCCAAGGATCTCCCACTCCTAAATGGTGGTTGGTGGGGGATGTCCTGACCCCAAAGTCAAATGGGTGTGGGTGTGGGAGTGGCCAAATGTCAAATCAGCGTCGTCGTGTCGTCCTCCAGTCTTCGTCCTTCGTCTTGAGGAGAGTCCTTCGCGCGACAGAGCAAGCGAGAGAGTGAGAGAGCGAGCGAGAGAGAGAAATGCTTACCAATTGGCAACGCCCATTTGCCCCCAACCCCCAACGACACCCCCCATAGAAACCCAAACCACCACCGAAGGAGCCAAAGGAAGCAAGGATAAGGCGCCAAAAGAAGAACCATCACTGTTAACTTAACAGAGCTCTGTTAGTGGCCATCTCCCTCTACTTTTCTTGGTTGTTTTTTTTTTTTTGCGAAATATAGTTTTTTCGTATCTGATGCAGACAAACTACAACTGCACTGCGAGAAACAAATAATTTGTGGTGTATGGAGTGGTGGTGCACCCCTGCTGCAACCCCTGTTGTGGCAGCTATTTGTCTTGCTCACTGTCACCACCACCCTCCCATCCACCCACCGATGTGCCTCCCCCATCGGTAGTAGTGTGTTCTAACCCTCGTTTAGTATTTATAACGTGTGGCAATGTTCATGATTTAATTAAAAACTTTCGGCTTGCATGCAACACAAAATGCACATTCTGCCACAAAAAGAGCAAAGGTCGTTTTTTTTTCAAAAAGTCGGTTGTTTTTCGAATTTTAAACAAAGTTTTGGAAAGTGAGAGAGTCGTTTATTTAACTGATGGATAGTTTTATTTTAAACAAATAATTAAGTGTTCTCATCATTAGGTCTTTGGATCCCTAGACATTGGCCTATATTAGTCTATATCCTTGGGCAGCCCGCATAACCAGCTTATTAATGATCTCTAAATGATGAATATATCTAGGGGGGGGTGGAATCTGGGGATTTTCTTCTGGCAGCCAGCTCATTCAATTCCCGATAGTTTGGGGATAGTTTTAGTCCTTTTTGGTGTTCCCTTCTGTGTGCGCCAGGATCTATGCCGAAGGATTTGCTGGAGAGTATGAGGGGTAAACCCAAAGCTATTTGTATGCAGGCGCCATAAATTAGCTAGGCCCAAGGACAATGAGGTGAGGAGTAGGGGATGTTGGCAGGATACGGACAGGGCTAGACGCTTCACGTGCGCCACTCATTTGTCTCGCGTCCTGCGTCCTTCGTCCTTCGTCCTGCGTCCTGCTTTTACCCCCTGCTTTTGTGCGGGCGCATGAAACTTTTTAATCTCCTACGATTATTCTCGCATTTGCCATTTGTTTACACAAACACACGCCAAAGTCCCGGATGGCGGGAGTGTGGTGGGTGGAGAATGAGGTCCGTCTCTATGTTTGAGCTTATCAAATAATGGCAACATTTGCTGCGATTCCCTTCCCCATTCCTGCTAGTCCTCGCCCCCCCTCCGCCAAAAAATCCCCTTCCCTGGGATGTTCTAATCGCGGTTAATCTCAAAACAAACGTTTGCCAATTTATTTTCCACTTTAGCCAGGAACTTTTGCGTCCTCCTTACCCCAAGGCTCGTCCCCCCCTATCTTTTGGACTCCAGCTCGAACTAATGACTTAATTTATCTGCCACAGGGCTTTCAGCGGGCGCCAAATTAAGTTGATTGTTTCTATTTTGTTTCGAAAAACGCTGGCCTTTGGTAGAGAGTAAATGAACTGCCACGCCTCCACCTCGGCCCACACCTCGGCCCGCATTTAT